TACTTATTTTGACAAAACTGACCTTTTAAGATGATGTTAAAATTCAAAAAGCTTAAACAAGCAATTCCATCTTACGGGTCATGTCCACATTGCTCAAATATGAAAATGGTACCACGAGGTTACCTACTTTTCTTAATACTGATTACTTTTTAAGATGAAACTTCAAGATTCAATACAACAATTACAACTAGGACAACTAACAAATTTTATAATATCTTTCTCTTTCTTGATTGATAATACAATGTACGATTAAAACCACGACCCGATTACAACATGACATAAGTTCATTGTATCTAAAAAGAGAACCGTGTGGAGGCCACACGCCTTCATTTGTTTATTTGCCTATAGATAATACAATATTATAAAACGCTCCTAACAGGAAATTTCATCGCATTATCTAATTTAGTTTTTCTACGTCTCCTTGCATTAAACTATAATGTATAGTCTTTCAATAACCTTAGTATAAATAGTAGTATCCTAGGACTGTGTTCTCCACACTACTCAGATTTCAATCATTTAATATTTTTGTCTCGTAATTTCTTCACAAAGAAAGCTATCAGATTCCAATGGCAAAGTTTTTTTGTTTTTTGGGATTATTTCTTGCACTTTTTTTGAGTTCTTCAGCTGCATTTACCCCTTTGAAAGTCGGGTTCTATCAGAAAACTTGTCCATCTGCTGAGAGTATAGTGAAAACTACATTGGACCAGGCTTACACCCAAGATTCTGGCATAGCTGCTGCACTCATTAGACTGCACTTTCATGACTGCTTTGTCAGGGTAATGGATCTTGTGTGAATTTAAGGACTGCTGATTGTGCTTTTAAATCAGTCATTTGCGTTGATTCCATTAAAAACTAGCCGTATTTGGCATGTTTTGGTATGCAAAACTTGATATGATTAAAACGGATAATTGACAAATCCCATTACATACCTCTCTTCTATAGCTATGTTGGTCCATCCCATTACAGCGTATCAAACATGCCCCATGACTGCTTTGTTAGGGGAATCGATCTACGTGCACATGCACACACACTAGTATGTGATGCTGATCTTGCTTTTTAATCTGTCATTCTTCTTAGTTCGATTAAAAACCAACCATGGGTTGCATATTTGATACACTGAAGTTGATAGGATGACTGACAAATTAATTAGAGTCACACGCTTCTCTTCTTTAGTTATGTCACTTTTAACCCATTATAGAGTACCAATATAACATGTCCTATACTTTTTTGGAAGCTCAATGGTGAACTCGAACTGAAAATGCACATGTCGTGTCCTTCCTGTTATTCCCACTTGAGATCCAACTATCGTTGCATGTTTGGTACACTGGACTGAATAGGATTGAACAACACAATTTGGTGGCAGATTTTTGGATTGATAATATGGCCTTCTTTATCTCTCCTTAACACTACCACGTTTCTTCAAACTCCGATTTTGATAGTCGGGAGGGAATTCTTGCTATGCCTATCCATGACAAATTCTGTCATACGCTTCTTTATATTAATTTAACCTAAGTACATGTACATTTTTTTTCTTGAATTTGTAAAGAACTAAGCACAGTACTTGCATATTAGTCTTGTGATTGTGATGTTAAGACATAAATGTTATTTTTTTGACAGGGCTGTGATGCTTCAATTCTTCTTGACTCGACACCAGGACACAAAGCCGAGAAGGACAGCATGGGAAACAAAGGAGTACAAGGTTTTGATGTAATTGATGAAGCCAGAGCCAAAATAGAAGCTCAATGTCCCAACACAGTCTCTTGTGCAGACATCATTGCCTTTGCAGCCAGAGACAGTGTTTTCAAGGCTGGCGGCCTACACTATCCTGTCCCAGCCGGACGTCGAGATGGAACATTTTCGTCATCAGACGATGTCGAAAAAAACCTTCCCGATGCATTCTTCAACGTGACAGAATTGCGCGAAAACTTTGCACGAAAGGGGTTGTCCTTAGAAGAGATGGTAACTCTTTCGGGCGCTCATTCTATCGGAGATTCCCATTGCTCATCCTTTGCCAAACGCTTATACTCGTTCAATTCAACATACTCTCAAGATCCGTCACTGGATCCCACCTATGCTAACTACCTAAAAGGCCTATGTCCCCGCCCTACGAGCACGAGCACGAACCCGATCCCAGATCCGGTCGTGCCATTTGATCCTACAACACCTATCAAGATTGATAACAATTACTACAAGAATTTGAAAAATAACAAGGGACTATTGGTTTCTGATCAAGTCCTATGGAACACACCTTTAACTAGACCATTGGTGAAGAAAAACTCAAATCATCCAAATTATTGGACTACCAAATTTGCTGCAGCAATGGTGCACATGGGATCAACTGAAGTTCTAACAGGGAATCAAGGAGAGATCAGGAGAAATTGCAGGATTGTGAATTAAATCAAAATGCTTGTTCCCTAGTTTTCTTGCTTTATAAGGGGTGTACGTTTTTTTTCCTTTCTCAAATTTACTTGTCGTTTTGATGTGTTTTTCATGAGAATCTGTTTTGCTTACCTGCGCTTATCATTGCTCAAAATAAAATTTCTGTATTATATTCTATTGATTTTTTCTCTCCATTTTCTTATAGAAGTGATTAATGATGTTTGGCTAAGCTTAAAAAAAAAATTAAAAAATCACGTGTTTAGTCTTATTCATTACATTATTTAGTGATGTTAAATCAAAAAATTAAAAAACTATCCATTGACGCGTACCAAACATGCAGTCATGTTACTTAGTAAAGCGAGCCTTTGTGGCAGGTGATCGCCTTTTTTCTTGGGTGGAAGCCGGCAAGCAGAGCTTGCTAAGTCCGATATACACCGAATTGGGATATGGGTCGCATCTTTTTTTCTTCATTTTATATTTTCTTTTTGTGTGTATCAAGATAAAAAATTCATAGCAAGCTTGATGAATAATAAAGAGGCATGAAAAAGAAGTTTATTGGAAATGTTGGAATCTTTCAAATGGGAAACAAGATATAATTCTAAAAAGAAAAGTTCTCTTTGTATATAGTGATTGCTTTTATGTAATTGGACATTGATTAATGAATTTTTGCTTATGTGAATGGTTCAACATTTCTTGTCATCTTCTGCTTTTACTTGATTCTGCTTGCTTTTTATTCTCTTCCTTGTAGCTTCTCGACCTTTCAACACTTGGGAGAGTAAAACATATGCCAACCTTTTTCTTATCTTCATCGGACCACCTCGTTTGAACTCTTAGATATCTCGAACTTTGTCTGTCACCGAATTATAAAAAATTTTACGTGTCATACATTTGGTGAAAAATGCAGCTGGCTTGCACCATATTGTTAAGAATTGGGGTTTTATCTTAAAAAGTCAACCTTATTAAGAGGAGTAGCACAAAATCTTTATTAATTGGTATGTGTCAACATCATTAATCGATGTGGGATATATATCCCTTAACACGCCCCCGCAAGATGGTGGCTCATTTGAGCAGACCAATCTTGAAATCCACGTGCTCACTTTTGGAGTCTTAACGGGATCGAATCGCTCGTTGGAGCATAATGGGCTCTGATACCATGTTAAGAATTGGGGTTCCATCTTAAAAGGTCAACTTTATTAAGAGGAGTAACTCAAAATCTTTATTAATTGGTCTGTGTCAACATCATTAATCGATGTGAGATATATATCCCTTAACACATATGAGGGAGCCAAAGGTTGATTTTACTAAACTAAAAGAGATCATGCTATACGCTCACCATTTTTAGTTGAGCCGTATGTTGCTGGGTGAGACCGATGGAAGAAAGAATGGGGCTATGTGGCATAAAGTTTGATAGTTTGAACTTTTAGACGAGTCAAATATTATAAGTTTTAAGTTTCCATCTGACAAAATTGTAAACATGCCAAACCTTTGATGGAAAAATTTAATGTGCATGTGAGGAGCTTCTAGACGAGGTAGTATAATGGAAATGTTTTGACGACAAAAGTGTAATCAAATAGATTTAGCCCTTGTTTGAGCACCATTTTAGAGAAAAATGTATTTTTGAATAATAATATTTTAGAGAATGTGTGGTTAAAAAGTAAGAAAAAGTTTTCGATTTATATATAAAATTATTTTATTGAAGAATGTGTGATTAATAATGAATTATTGAAAAAATAGGGCTCCAACAAAGTTTTAAAGAATAATTTTCAGTCATGTCTTCTTTATATAATTGGTTACAGAACTTTTTTCTGTCCTCTCACAAATGATGCACTTGGTGGTACGGAAATGCTCGAGGACACAACCTCATTTTTGTGTCAAAATGCATTTTGAAATAGTATTTTGTTGGAAAATATTGTTAAGGAATAAAATCTCACATCGAATAAAGATGTAAACATAAACTAACTTATAAAGGATTGTGTTACTCCTCTTAATAAGGTTGACATTTTAAGATACAACCACAATTCTTAATATGGTATTAGAGTCCATTAAGCTTTTAACGAGCAATTCGATTCGATTAAGACTTCAAATGTGAGTATACGGATTTCAAGATTGGTTTGTTCAAACGAACCACCATCTTGCAGGGGCATGTTAAGGGATAGAATCCTACATCAAACAAAGATATAAACATAAACCAACTTATAAATGATTTGATTACTCATCTTAATAAGGTTGCCATTTTAAGATGAAACCTCAATTTTTAATAAATGTGTTGTTAAAAAATAAAAAAAATTGAATTTGCATGGAAAATTATTTTATGTGAGAATGTGTGGTTGAAAATGAGTTTTGAAAAAAATATTTTTTTAGAAAAGTGGGGGCCAAACATAGGCTTAACCTGATTTTAGATTTTAAGCTAAATACCTTCACTTTTGGATATAAGCAAGTATTCACTTTGGACAATTGTAATTAAAAGTTACTCATTTAGAAAGTTAAAATTTGTCTTCTAGAAAGCTATATTTTGTAGAATAAGTAAATTTGAAAATTATTTAATAATATAAGTAACTTAAAAGTAAACATAACGGTATAATTCTTGCAATTTATTTCAAACCATCAAATGACCAAATATCAGCAAAAATAGTGACTTCCCACAAAATCCTTTTTTTCTGACATTGAAGCTGAATATATTCTAAGATTCTTATTCCTCTCCACTTCAGAATGTCAAATAAAATTAGGAGAATATAACCAAATAGAGCTCTGAGACTGTAATCCTAATAGAAATTCTGTTCTAAGTTGAAAGCCATGAATGAGAGTGTAAATCAAAAGATTCAATTACAATAGAGACAAAAGGAAGTGATACGAGACTTTTTACTTGGACGGACAACAGTCTACATTCATGGGGAAGAGATCATAAAATTTCCATTATATGGCTGGCATGAACTATGTTAAGAATTTTGATTTCATCTTAAAAGGTCAACCTTATTAACAGGAGTAATTCAATTTTTTATAAGTTGATTTATATTTACATCATTATTCGATGTGGGATTCTATCCCTTAACATGCTTCGCAAGATGGTGGCTCGTTTGAACAGACCAATCTTGAAATCCGTATGCTCAATTTTGGAGTCTTAATCGGATCGAATTGCTCGTTGGAGCTTAATGGACTCTGATATTTGAGGTTCCATCTTAAAAGGTCAACCTTTTGGGGTAACCCAATCATTTATAAGTTGATTTATGTTTACATTTTTATTCGATATAAGATTATATCCCTTAACAAGCTAGTCAACATATGCAATTTCTAATTATTGTACCATATAACAGTCGGAAAAATGATAAAATTCCACAAATAAACTGTCACATACAGGGGCTAAATGTACAATATAATTAGACTCCGTGCACTACAATATTGACAAAAAATAATAAATTCTATTAAGATTAGAGCATAATTTTCCCTAAGATAAGGTGCCCAAAATGTGTGAAGAAGGTTACTCTTCTATGAATATTCTGCATTGATTGGTTAGGCTGAATTGTTCCACCCATTTTCTCACTTCCATTGGAGCTATTGTTATTCAATATATTCTCCTCCATGCCTTCAAATGTATACGAAGGTAGAAGTTGACCTATGAAAGAATTTTTGGGTGTGCTCGTGCTCAGCATACTACAATACTGTCGAAGATAATAAAAAAAATATTTTAGTTTCTTTTTATTTCTTTATCCGTCTAATATACTTCAATTTATAATAACAATTAGTGGTGCGACCCTTGTTTGATTCTTATTTTTGGGGTAAAATGTATTACAGAATAGAGAATATGTGATTAAAAAGTAATTTTTTTAAAATACGTGTATAATTATTATTTTTTTAAAAAAATGTATTTTCGAAAAAATGGAGCTCAAACTGTGAAAAAAAATTGTGAAAATTCTAGTTTGCCGCTAATAACAAATACGCAATATTGTCTAATTCAATTGAAAATTGTGAAACAGAAGAATAGAAGAGCTCAGAAGTGTATTTTTGAAGTCTTGAGCTCATATTCTCACTTCACACGAAAAATACCTTTTTCTTTATGTCCTTTTTCGGTAATTTTAATTTAAGTTAAAGTCAAACATAAAATTTCCATTATATGGCTGGTATGAACTATGTTAAGAATTTTGGTTTCATTTTAAAAGGTCAACCTTATTAAAAGGAGTAATTCAATTCCTTATAAGTTGATTTATATTTACATCATTATTCGATGTGGAATTATATCCCTTAATATGCCTCGTAAGATGGTGGCTCGTTTGAACAGACCAATCTTGAAATCCGTATGCTCAATTTTGGAGTCTTAACCGGATCGAATTGCTCGTTGGAGCTTAATGTGCTCTGATACCATGTTAAGAATTTGAGGTTCCATCTTAAAAGGTTAACCTTTTGAGGTAACCCAATCCTTTATAAGTTGATTTATATTTACATTTTTATTCGATGTAAGATTATATCCCTTAACAAGCTAGTCAACATATGCAATTTCTAATTATTGTACCATATAACAGTCGGAAAAATGATAAAATTCCACAAATAAACTGTCACATACAGGGGCTAAATGTACAATATAATTAGACTCCGTGCACCACAATAGTGACAAAAAATAATAAATTCTATTAAGATTAGAGTATAATTTTCCCTAAGACAAGGTGCCCAAAATGTGTGAAGAAGGTTACTCTTCTATGAATATTCTGCATTGATTGGTTAGGCTGAATTGTTCCACCCATTTTCTCACTTCCATTGGAGCTATTGTTATTCAATATATTCTCCTTCATGCCTTCAAATGTATACGAAGGTAGAAGTTGACCTATGAAAGAATTTTTGGGTGTGCTCGTGCTCAGCATACTAGACAATACTGTCGAAGATAATAAAAAAAATATTTTAGTTTCTTTTTATTTCTTTATCCGTCTAATATACTTCGATTTATAATAACAATTAGTGGTGCAGCCTTTGTTTGATTCTTATTTTTGGGGTAAAATGTATTGCAGAATAGAGAATTTTTAAAGAATACGTGATTAAAAAGTATATTTTTTTAAAATACGTGTATAATTTATTTTTTTTTGAAAAAAAAAATATATTCTTGAAAAAATGAGCTCAAACTGCGAAAAAAAATTGAAAAAATAAATGTATATTTTCCCACTTCAAAATTTGGCGCCCCATTGTGAAAATTCTAGTTTGCCGCTAATAACAAATACGCAATATTGTCTAATTCAAGTGAAAATTGTGAAACAGAAGAATAGAAGAGCTCAGAAGTGTATTTTTGAAGTCTTGAGCTCATATTCTCACTTCACACGAAAAATACCTTTTTCTTTATGTCCTTTTTCGGTAATTTTAATTTAAATTAAAGTCAACAATTAATTTTAATCACCTGTTTCATGGGATTCACAATTTTTCAATAACATATTTTATCAATTTTTTTATCAAAATCTACTAAAAAATTGTTTTTAATCCCCACAAACAAAGGCTATATATGACTTTTTAAATTTTATAATAGTGAGTGCTAAAATGTCTAAAAGAGGATTTTTTTTTTTAATTTTTTTTTTGTTTGAAGGACAAAAGTATTCAGAGCGAAATGAAAAAAAAACCCCTTTATCAATAATATTTTTTAAGAATATTGATTTTAAAAACAGATTTAATGAATTTCTATGTATCCCGTGTTTACAAAGGCAAAGAAGAATACGAGAGAATAAGAATAAAACATTTTTGGAGGCATAGTTTGAGTAAGTTCGACATGATCAAGTAGAGATTCTAGCTGATTAAAGAGGGAGTTGAAGATTAAAAAAAAATTTAATAAAGGAGAAGCATGATCCTGAATACTATTCAAGATTCAAATATTATGCATTGAGGGAGATTGATTACCTTGAAAAGGACAAATCATCAAAAGAGTAGCACATTTGTTTCGAGAAAATTAATACTTTACACTCTCAATTTTTCACATTCTTCCCCCTAATTCTAGCTTCCAAACCTAAGAAGACATCAAAAAATGCAGATGAAGTAGTAGCATGTCACACCACAACATAATTAGAAAATGTACAATATTTAGTACGCTGTGGATCATCAACAAGTTTACTTACTACAGAATCAACCTCAGAAATCTAGATTTTCTTTTCTGGTCCCTGCACTTTGTACATTTTTCAAAATGCCCCATATTTTCTTCTCAAGTTTCATCAAGATCCTCAATTAATCACATGATGTAGCATCCATTAGGGTTCTCATCACTCAAAATTTCAAAAGAATCCAACGGTGTAGACATCGCTTGATAAACCTCCGACTGTGCGTGTGCATGCATGTACGGTGAGGATGCAGGCATGTAATAACTTGGAGTACTCGCGCTTGCGGTTGGGTGCGTCGTATTGTAACTCATCACATATGCCTGTTGGGGTCCATTACTTGGTGGGTAGTGCATCACATTCTGAAGTGAAGAGCTCAGATTAGTTTGATCAACAACTTGAGTGGGACCCGTGCTTGGAATCTCCAATCCGATGCCTGATGGTGCACGATTAGGCGGTGGTGCACCTGAACCTGCATTGTTACTGTTATTCCCTTTATGCCCTTTCTTCTTTTTCTTCTTCTTCTTTTTACCACCACCACCACCTCCACCTCCACCGCCTGCTCCTCCACTAGGATGACTCTTTTGCTCCACTGCTGAGAAATTATCCCCGCCGACGACATTTCCCGGTGACTTTGACTCAAGAACAGTATCAACTCCGATGAATTTCACAGTTGGGCCTCCATTTCCACCATTAACTCTAGGAGAAGAATTACTTATTTTCACTTCAGGATTGTTCTGGACTGGATTTTCTTCCTCTTCTTCATCGCTGTTTTCGCTGCTTTTTGGCTCATTTTCTTTGTCTGATTTTCCTGACTTTTTCTTTTTTCCAGCGGGTTTTTCGGGCCACAACTCTGCGTGTTTTCCATTTCTCACCAGCTTTTTGATCAGGGTTTGTGCATCAATATTTCCAGTAACTATAACTTTTCGCTGCTTTGCATCGATATTTATTGTATAAACACCTGCAGATTAAGTTTTAAAGGGGAAAAAGGAACTTGTTTAGCAACTAATATAACAAAAACAGAGTTATCATATTCATACACAGGACTGGACAATACTGTAGAATGAGATTCTTATTTTTTCTTAACATTGTCCAGTACTATAGAATCGATCTTACAAGACAGGATACCTATGTTCTGAAGAATTTTCTTGAAGCTGATCATGTTTGGTACATGATATTAGATAGGACTTGAGAGTACAATGAACGGAGTACTGTAAAGTCTACTTACCGAACACGTTGTCAATGTTTTAGAGAATTTTCTTGAAGCCAAAAGAGAGAGAGGATTAATACTGCAGTACCTTCAATGGCTTGAAGAACTTTCTTGACTTTCCTTTTGCAACCTTGGCAGTGGATGGAAACTTTCAGAACCCATGTCTGAGAAACAAACAGAAAGTACTTGAACAGTTAAAAACAGCTCATAAGTTCAAGAAAATAAGCAGAAAACGAGAATTCTTTGTTTGCAAAAACATGGAAATGTACCTGGTATTGCAGGACTGGTAGAGGTTCTTCTCCTGGTCCTGAAGCCATTGAGAGAAAGAGAAAGTGGGGTGGTGGGTTTGGGGGATAAATGAAGGAGAACGAATGCAAGATTAGACTAGAGAGAATTACTACACTTTATGCTGACTATAGTGAGCAAAGTGTCTATAAATCTATCTAATGTGAAATATGAAATTGACATTTGATGCTCACGGCTATCGGCTACTGCCTGCTTAGTGCAACAGTGAAAGTGCTTTGTAAGTTCACCCTCCGACTTTATAATTTGTATGATAGTGGGAAGTGGTCACGAAGCTAAATAATTTCGTTGAAAAGTTTAAGAGGTTAAAAATTGAATAAAGTTTGTGTCATAATTCACAAGGAATCATGCTATTCATCAACCACGGTGATAAATATGCGTTTATGCCAACTTCATCAGACAATATAACAATGTCACGTTAGCGGCTAAACATGAACAGTGACGATGAAAAACATTACACATTTGTATGCAGTAATTAGAAATGTTTAACGAGATATCTAAGTAAAATCTTTACTATAATAAAAAGAGATACATATGTACCTTGTCGAAATAGGTGATTTGGAAAATAAGTATATATTTTTATCATTTCCTCTCTCTATGAATGCTTTCATTTATTTTGATTGTTAGACACTTTGCCATGTAGTACCTCAATTCTGTTCCCCTTACTACTTTTGAGGTAAAACCAACTATACTCACTTCTGAGTGGGCTAGTTCTTTCAACAATGTGTGACTAGAGAAGTAAAGACAAGGTTAGTCGTGTTGCAAATTGACTTGTAGGCGACCTTCAGGCCGGCGGCTTGCATGGATCGACTCACGCATGCCTCTTCTAATGAATTTTTGTTTCTTAGCTGAATTTAACTAACAGATAAAAAATTATTGTTCTTTTTGCTTGTCCAACCTAGTCTAAGCCTCATTTGTTTCGACTTATTGACCTAGGCCGCCGTCGTTTTAATGAAAACCAATAAAATCGTTTATTTTATTGTTTGGCAGCCTGTTGTGGAACACATTCTATATCATACCATGGTTGAATTTGCATCTTTTGATTCTTACAAAGGTTTCACTTTCATGTATTGATCTTGAGATTGGCTAGTTGATATTAGGAGTACAATCACATATGCACCAACATCATAAATAAAAACCAATTACTTTTCACACAAAGTATGAGTTGCAATAGGCTTTTATATGATAATGACAAGATTTCAAAAATTGTGCCAACAAAATTGTTGTACCCCAAAAAGCATCTTCCTCGTACAATTTCGCAGGAAAAAAGTTAAAAGGGTTTCAATTATAAGTTTGAAAAGATAAAGAAAGAGGGGTCACCTTCTCAATAAGCCCCCCATTTGGTGCATATTTTTGGAAGAAGAATGCATTTTTACTGTTGATGTGATGGAGAATATGTGGTTGAAAAAGAAAGATAAATTATTGATGTGATGGAAAATATTATTTTATTGAAGAATGTGTGGTTAAAAATGAGTAGAAGAATGAGAATGAAAAAAATAATATGGTTCAAACATGGTCTATATTGGAGGCATGGCAGAATCAACATTCTATTGTGGCTGCCACAAAGGTACAAGCTGGTTAAAGCTCACTTAAAAGAAACCATACATGCATCGGACAACTTTCATGACTTAATTTGAAGGGCAATTTTGATCGTTCTTTTCTAATTTTTATAAAATTCTCTCCTTTTTCTTGTCCATATAGTTCCATGTATCATTAGCGTGTACAATATTCTCTCCTAGTCTTCCAAATAAGCTAAAGGCAGTTCAACATCAAATTGTTAAGATGTGATGGTCACAATCAACATGATTAGCTGGCTACCACGTAATCATTTTATGTAGGGACATAAGATTTTTTTGAGCTTTTCTAATCAATTGAAGGACTTGAAGTCGTCGAAAATGTTACAAAACAAGTGTCGGTTAGCAAGCTTAGCCCTTTGGAGGTAGGGGTGGTTGCTTGACTCTCGCAATCATTTCTTATGTGTAGATTGCGGTGAAATTTCAATACAATAAGTAGAGCCTCTTAAAGAGTAAAGCCATATCGACCATGCTCTATCTTGAGTGCCCAATGCGCCCAAGTTACTTCCTGAGAATATTGTACAAACCGAAGTGTTTAGTACATTGGCGTTTGTCGAGCTTTAACAACTTAATGTTGTGTTGGTTTCTATGTATAGTTAATTCAAGTTCTTCTTATTGATCTCGTGTGCTAAATTGTACTTTCTTAGAATGAGCGTCGCCCGCAAGTCAACCTCTTTGCAAGAGTTGAGACATTCTTACCTTCTTGTGAAAATAAGTAACTTAAAAATAATTTTGACTGATAAAAAAGTTAATTTTTACTTATAAGTAAATTTATTTGGAAGCAACAGACAAGTACCTTTAAATGCCATAATCAATACAAAACCTGGCATAGACATGACAATTCAGAATTGTGCATTAATAACTTACATACCTCCATGCAAATTCAGCATGAAGTGGGGTTGAGAGAACGAAATAGACTATTATATTCCTCATTAATGTTTGAAGATTAGTAAAATGGGATTTCGCCTTTCAATTTTAACTTCGAGGTTTAAAGCCAGATGGATGATTTATGATCGATGGAAGAGGGCCATCATTTTCACAACATGCATAGAAAAAGGCATTGAAAACCTTGACATTTTCGAGAAAATCCGTCAATGTTCAAAAGTTACAAGTAATTTTGTCTTCTCTTGAGTGCTTCCTTCGGCAAAGGAAAACATGTAGCTTTTCCTGCAGCATGCCCGAGCCGTTTAGCACAAAAATTACTTCAAAGCGACTTTAAAGACAGTAGCATTCTGCTTCGACCACATTTTGATACCTGGCACTCTTCACAAAATTTCAATAACTTCAAAAATGTTTCATTTTTTTTTTCTAAACAAAAATTGAAAATTTTTACCACAATATTTGACAACTTAAATTAAGAACTGCACAGGTGCTCATTACATCATTTATATATAAGCAATAAATCCATCAGTAACAAACTCACATTCACCGGAACATTGGTATGCTTACTAACATTATCTCACTTACGAGACGGAACTCAAAAAAACTGATTGAAACATCTTAAATTAACAATTCATAAGATTCTCATTCCTAAAACTATCGATATCCTTACGTTTTTTCAATGATTCAACTAGTTTTACGCATCAGATACAAAAATCCATCAAGGAAAGAGCCAAGCTAATGTAATTTGGTGACAACTGATTAAAGGTGAGAGCTTCATCTTCGTCGATGCAACTAATTGTCATTCCATACAAGATATGAGAACCAACCCCAGATGGATTCGTCCCTTACAGAGATCATTGAGTAAAATTCGATCTACTCAATTTCTTTATCGTTACTGCCTATTGGTAAGTCTTGAGCTTTTTCATTGATGTTTTCGACAATGGGAACTTCGGTCTCTTTGGCTTCTGCAGAAACATCCTGCAGCTACAGAATTCCATAAGACAATTTAAAACTTGAAACTAACTTCTGATGGCAGAAAACATACGAGGAAACTTGAAATTTTCTCAACAAAAATAGCCATAATGTGAAAGCATAAGCAAACCGACCCCTAGGTTTTTCAGGCTGGCTGTAACATCTTCCTGCTGCTGTTGAAGAGTGGTCTTCAGTTCTTGAAAATCCTTCATTCATCAATCGAGCAAGTAACTAAATCACATCTCCAACTGGAAACTATGAAATTATAATCTCGAGTCTCGACTAGAAACTATGAAACTATAGGAGGAGCCACTCACAGATCGAAGTTGCTCAACTTCAGTATTTAGGGAGTTCTTAAGCTCCGAAAGTTCCTGCAGAGAGCAATAAAGCAATTAAATCATGAGGCAGAATAATAAATAAATAAGCAATAAGGCCTTAGAAACAAAGAAAAGTTTCCATACAACTGAAGATATCAATGGCTAGATGGCACATCTCAGAAGAACAAAAATAACATGGAGAACATAGCATATGATAGTTGACATGTCTAAAGAGCATAAACTCAGCTTTTTAAAATACTCACGGAATGTGAGTCAAACATCTTCAGACAATCAATGTGCAAATAACAACAAAAATAAACTAAGCACTATTTCCAATAAGTCATTAAGTGCATATTTGGTACACAATGCTCGAAAGGACTCAACAGTAAAAGCAACGAGATTTAGCCTCTTTTGGTTCATTGATATTATCGAGTGTTATCCAATTCTAACTACTAAACATGCCATTGACGTGCAAAGAAACTTTGAACAACGATTGTAAAATCTTTATGAACATCTAATGCACCTCTAATAATATCACATGACAAGGCATGTGTGATGCACTTTGTTGCACGGACACTTCAATTATGGTAACTTATCCGTGTCGTATAATTACATCCATCGAACGCTCTACCATAGTTATTTTTCTTTTTTTTATCAAAAATATTCTATATTTGTAACTTAAAGTTATCGTTAAAACAAAAAAAAAAAAATAGCACTCATACTAAAAGATTTCAACAAGAAAGTTTAATAACAAGTATAAAATTGAACTTATACTACACCCTTGTTTGACAACCATTAAAATGATTTTTTTGGAGGAAACTAAGTTCTGAAATAGTGATTTTTGGGAAAATGTGTGCTTAGAAAGTAGGAAAATGTTTTGGATTTACATGCAGAATATTTTATCGTGAGAATGTGCAGTTGGAAATAAAATTTTTAAAAAAAAATTGTTTTAATGGTTGTCAACACAGGAGCTATATAAATAAAAAAAATTTAAAGATTTTAATCAACGCGTCGACGATGTATCGTATCAGTACTTTTTTAAAAAAAATTGCATGTTGATTTATCTAACACGTGTCAACACAAGTGTTCATGTCGATGCACCATAGGTGATGCATAATGAAGAATGAAGGTTGAATCATACGGCAAATGAAGAATTATTTGCATCCAAGTTTGTTAATTTGTGGAAAGAAAAAACCACTTGGTACATCTGGCACACAATAATAGTATTTCTATTCTATGTTATAATAACAAATTCTCACAGAACAGTTA